GTTTAACGAAGTTAAAAACTTACAGCTATCAAGTTTCTTGTGCGGAGAAACCTGTAGATTTGGGTTGGTTCTGCAAATAAACAGTCCAAATGTCAGAACATTAATTCATGTATTATTCACTAGAACTGCACCAACAGTGATATATTTTTTTCCGACTACCTCAGTTTATCTACCCTGCCACATCAGTTCTGAGTTGACTGAATATCCAAATATGGTGTGACTAGAAGCTAAAAACCTTTAAAACATTCTTACTTGCTATGACATAAAAGGGGAAATAAGACCATTTTCAAAACACACGCTATGGATCCATTTTAAATATCAGTATCAGTGCATCGTCACGTAGTTTCCTTTCAAGTAAAGTACCAAACATTTGCCACTTGAACCTTCAAGAATGGGAATTTTTCTCCATTTCCCAGCTACTCTGACTGTTCAAAGTAAAAAAAAAAAAGACATCTGAAAGCAGAGTTTTTGACATTTACTGAATTATGAAAACTTAGAACTATGAACTATAAATAAGTTAACAACAATCCTGCAGAAAGAGAAAGTTAAAAAGCAACAGCAGAGAGACTATATTAATTACTAGGTTTGTCTGGGTCTCTCTGACACAAGTTTCAGGATGTAACCTTCAGTGTGATGACCCTCCAGGACATGCAGTTAAGAGTAAGTGGACACAGGCCTTGATTAGAATGACTGTGTACAGTACCGGTTTGTAGATAATAATAAAAGTACGGCATTAAGTCAGCTCTCTTCCTCCTGCTACCGCTGCATGCACATGGCCGCGGGAAAGCTTCCTATAAGCTTAAATTAACACTTTATACATGCAACCCGATGACAGCAGTAACTTACTCTCGAAGGCCTGCAGGAACAACTCGTGGTCGGCTTGAATAAGTTGCATGTTGGGCTTCTTGGCTGCAGCCATCGAGGCGGAGGACGGCTGGTGGTGGTACAACCCATTGGGTTTACCTCCAGAGCCCAAGCCCACCGGATGGCTCTGCTTGTGAGGAGCCATTACAACAGTGAAAAAAATAAGAGAAAGATCAAAGAAACTCTCCCACCACCAAATGCGAGGTGGTGTAAAATGATAAAGAAATGCGGCTCCTCTTCCTTTGTGAAAACAAAAGAGCAGCAGTGGCAGAAAATCAGCCGCTCAGGAGAAACACCGCCTACTCCCCATTTTACACAACGATTTGTAAAGTTTCTCCTCTTTTATATCTGTCATTGGCGAAACTCCGGCTTAACGCTCTCGATGGGGAACAGGTTAAACAGTTGGTGAGGGCGGTTAACAGACTTGAAATGCGCGAAACAAGAGAACAGCCTCCGGCAGGCGGATTGCTAGCTAACTGGCTAACTTCCTTAGCCAGCTAGCAACCACCTTGCGCTAACCGGTTAGCATTGTCCAGCGCTCTGACTTTACCGACGACGACCACGCGCGTTTCTGTCACGCGACATCTCATAAATCACATAAACGATAGTCTTTCTGAGGCTTTGGTGCCACAACAACACCAAATTCACAGTAGCTCTCGCCGAGCGCCTGTTTCCAAGTTGGGATATAGACCCCGGAACACAGCAACAAAGCACTCACACATCCGGTTGGAATTTCCTAAATAAAGTTTTACTTTATTTATGACATTGGCAAATGCATATTTTACCCGTTTATACGCGGTAATTGTGCATAAATTGCAATCAGAAAAAAATTAAATAGAAAATCTTACAATACAAAGTAGATTTTAAAAATAAAATAAACCTCACGCAATTGTTCTGCTTTTATTAGGAAGGCAAACTTCCTTTATGTGGCCTCAATTCAGCGACTTCACAGATATACGTTGCGTCTTCGTGTTGAAAGAGTCCACCTTCTAAATACCTCTGTCCAATCATCGCGCTCGTCAGCGAGACTCTCAAGAAGGCACGTTTTGCCGCCCGTTGCGTTGGGTAGCGAGCCAGACGGTCTGAATATGCATACATTATTCACGCAAGTCACTAACTGTGAAAATAAATAATAATAATAATAATAATAATGACAACAACAACAACAATATTATTTGTCTAATTTGGGGCGTCTATAGCCAATAAATCATCACATTTGACTACAGACAAAATAGATTAAAATACTATTCATGTTTTTACATATAAATGGTATCATTGTTATTTTTAAAAGATTTATGTTTTTGTTTTAAAAATTCTAAATCACATAAATGTAGAAAATTAAAACATATTCTTTGTATAATTATCGCTTCCCTTCAATATCCACATGTAGAAATGTTGGAATTTTATCCTGAATGGAAAATAAATTGCTTCACTAAAGGTTAATTAATTTTTTTTTTGATTGATGAGAAATTACACTGAAATCAGGGCTATGAGTACAGTCTGGAGAGATTTTTTATGGCAAACATTTCAGTTGCAAGCAGTGCTGTATTGCCTGCAGACGACTGAACCACTGACCCAAAAATGTAATGAGGCCTAAAATAGCTTGTGAACACTCAGTACTTAGAAGATATGACGTGGAATTCAGTGCAGCTCTTGTACTTTTTTTAATTTTTACTTGCACAATATTATAAATTAAATGCTGCTGTATTTTTCCAAATGGGTTTTCTGTGTCATGATAAGGTAATTATAAGACTTTGGATCCTCTTAGAGATGTATTAGATTACTGCTTCTGTGCTTCCCAGAAGAAAATTAAAATTAGGAAAAAAACCAAAAACTCTGGATCATCAATTTAATTAACTTTATTTTTACTTCTATGACAAAAACTCAGATCAGCAGTTGTCTTAGGAGCTTTATAATCTAAGTACAGATCCTCCCATCTTCTACCCCTCATCCAGGTTGGAGGGACATCAGTCCAAGCAGAGATGATACCCAGACCTCCCTCTGAGCCTTCTCCTCTTTGGGGAAGACACTAAGTTGTTGATCTTATTCTGTAGGTCACTAGCCACAGCTCGAGGCCATAGATATAACCGTGAAACAACAAATTTGCCCTTTCTTCACCACAACAGACCAGTCGCAGTGTGCAGCTATAACAGCTTCCACCCTTCTGGCTTCCCACAGTGTTCAGGAGTGTTTCTGGGAATTTGTGACCATTTTTCCAGAAGCACATTTGTGAAGTCAGACACTGATGTTGGACAAGAAGGCCTGGCTCACAGTCTCTGCTCCAACTCATCTCAAAGGTCTTCCATCGGGTTGAGGTCAGGAGTCTGTGCAGGCCAGTCACGTTCTTCCACACCAAACACTCATTCAAGTCTTTATGGATCTTGCTTTCTACACTGGTGCGCAGTAATGTTGGGACAGAAAGGGGCCATGTCCAAACTGTTCCCACAAAGTTGGGAGCATGAAATTGTCCAAAATGTCTTGGTATGTTGAAGCATTAAGAATTCCTGAAAACAACCTCACACCATAATCCCCCCTCCACCAAAAACACTTTGTACAATGCAGTCAGACATGTACTGTTGTCCTGGCAACCACCAAACTCAGACTCGTCCATCAGATTGCTAGATGGAGAAGTGATTCATCACTCCCATCACTCTACTGCTCGAGAGTCTAGTGGCGGGGTGCTTTGCACCACTGCATGTGACACTTTGCATTGCGCTTGTTGATGTAAGGCTTGGATGCAGATCAGAAATGGAAACATGAAGCACTCTACACACTGTTTATGGAGATAATCTGAAGGCCACATCAAGTTTGGAGGTCTGTAGCAACTGACTGCAGAAAGTAGGTGACCTACTTACAATTTCACGATTGGACTTCCTGCCCAGGTGGCATCCTATCACGGTTCACGAGCTCCTGAGAGTGACCCATTATTTCACAAATGTTTGTAGAAACAGTCTGCGTGTGTAGGTGCTTCATTGTATACACCTGTGGTCATGGAAGTGATTGGAACAATTATCTGGATGGTTGAGTGAATACCTTTGGCAGTATAGTGAGCGTTTGTTGACCACGGCATTCACAAAAAAGCAAAGATGCGATCTCCAACGTCTACAACTTCATCTCCTTGACTTTGCCTACAAATGTTTGTCCATAAAAGTTCCAGTCACACTGGCCTAATTTGACTTATTGCTGGAAATGTGAACTGTGCTTGCACTGTGGTCGTACAAGCACGGAAGAACACGTGACAGCAGGGCTAATACCCCATACTACCAAAGCAGTCTTCACAGGAAAAATTCCCAACCATGAGATGATCCACTATGTCAAAATAATTGGCAATGGCGGGGAGGAAGAGCTCCCTTTCAACAGGAAAAGAACTCTTACAGAGCCAGGCTGAAGGAGCAGGGAGGTGAGAGGACTAAAGAAAAGAGGAACAGCGACAAAAAAAACGTAAATCAGCAAACACAAATTATGAATAAAAGACAACAAAGTTTGGACTTAAATTCTGATCAGTATTCAAACATATTCCCTTTTAATAGCAGTCGCGGCAGAGGTTCGGCTGGGTAGAGCACACAGCAGTGTTTACAGTACACTGACAATGAAGCCCAGAGTGAGCAGGAACAGCAGTGAGTGAGCCACCAAGAATCGGTTAAATCCTAACACACACACACATTAGTAAAAACGTAAACAAACAGATTAAACGCACAATCTCCCTTTTCCACATTAAATACACACTTTAACCTCCATCCTACATGATCACTTCCCTTTGGTGTTTAAAAATAAATAAACCACGTACAGGACAATTCATTTCCCAGCATTTTCCCAGTTTATCCTCCAAGTCCAGGTGTGTCGGTGGAATCAGGGTAATTACAAACCACTGTTGCCACAGAGCACGTTTTAAAATCTCTGATTATAATCTTTTACAGCAAATACCATGACGGGACTGTGCCTGTTGGAACCAGTCTCAGAGATGGGGTAGATTCTAGTATGACCACATTCCCATCAAGCTTAGCAGACCCACACATCACATTTTTGGCATTTCTGTCCCACTGAATCCATTTAAAAATTAAACACTGCATAAAGTCAATGAAAGTCAAAACCCAGGCTGATGTCACTGTTCCTCCGTCCACATTTACTTTGGTTAGTGAAACAATGAAACAGAAACCAGTAACAGAGACCGATGCCTCCAAACTAAAAGTTGTGCTTTTAGTCTGCAGCTAGTGACCAAAGCATCTCGACAGGGTTTCTTTGCAACTGACTTCAACTGACAACAGCCATCAACCTAAGGCAACCCAATGAATTCAGGAAATAGACATGTTTCCCCAGCGTCTGGAGGTTGCCAGGTGGTTGGTGGCCGGTTTGTGTGACTGAGGCCAAAAAGAAAGTTGGGTTAAATAAAGTTGTATTGGATTAAAGGGGGAGGGGCTAAAACATCTCAGAACTTCAGGGTTGGATCAGAGCGTATGTTGAGCTGTGAATCATGCAAAGCTATTCAATTAGAGTAACTTTGCATAAGCAGAATAAGTCCACTTTACTGTCACAACATTATTAGCAATGGGTAATCCCCTCACTGTTCATTTTTAGCGAAAGACTTGGTTTCCTTCTCTTCCTGTGTGCTTTCTGCAGCTGATTTCGACCATAAACTCCCTGTAACGGTCCGAGGGTTCAAATCATCTACAAAAAAGTCTTCTGACACGAGAAACTGAACAAACCACTGACACCATCCCCTAAACTGAGCGGTGCACCTGAGGTCTCGCATGTGTAATTCTGGCTCGGATCAGTGAGAAGGGGCCCCTAATTAGTCCACAATATCACGTGTCTCATTCAGACATTGGCACCATTTATAAGTCATGAAGATGGAGCTAGAAGATGTAAAGATTAACGGGCAATTTGGATGCATCTCAGATTATTTGTCTTAACAAATAACATGATTCATTTGGAAGCACAAAAGAAGAACTTTTTCAACAACAGTGTTAAAAATGTAGCAGTGATCACAGTCATTCTGGGCTTCTTCCCTTTTAAAACCGACAATAACTTCATTTTAACTCCTTCGTTACACTCTGAGGAGGTGTTTGAGTTCTTGACGCCATCTCAGGTGGTTTTCCTAAACAATGAAGTCCTTCATGTTTAGGTAAACAGAGTGCAAATTCGCCTTGAGAAGCTGTTATGTTTCTTTTAGCAGGATAATTTAACATTTAAACAAAGCAGCAAACAGACAAACCAACCAAGCAGCCACTACCCAAAGTGCACCAGGTTTCAGAAAGCATGTCCCGGTGGAGCTTTGTTGGTCAGACTTAGGAGCCCATCAGTCCTCCCGACTTCATCTGGGACATCCTGACTGTCACCAAACATGCCATCCTTCAGGCAAACGACCTCTAGTGGGCACTCATCCTTCAGGTGAGGACGGTTTTAGTGTTTTCTCAACAGTATGTAGGTCATGAGCAGAATGAGGCCTGCTGACAGGCCTGCAATCACAAACTGGTGGATGGAGAGGACGTTCTCCAGGGTGTGGATCCTCTCCTCCATGGCACTGGTGTGGAAGTAGTCGTAGACGCCGGCTGTGATGCTCCACAGCGCCCACACAGCATCCACCACCAACGGCATGGCTAAGCAGGAGGATGGAGGCTCAGCTGTAGATCAGACTCTGTTAAAGACTGGAACATGGGAACAACACGTAAATAATTCAGATACAAGATGAAATCCTTAAAAGAAAACCAAAAACACCATATCAGTTTGTTCTGATCAGAATATCACACGTATTAGTGCAGGAAGCCCTGGTTTCATATCATTGACGGTATAAAAGAAAGATGCAGCACTGCTGAAACACGATGCACACTATGTTATCAATATGGACTCATGTAGAAATAAAATAATAACATTATAATAAGATTTAACATTATAAAACATTTCTGCATTCAATAAATAATAGATAATAATAATAATTATTATTATTATTATAATACAGGTTCATGTTTCAGATAGTTTTAACTTGATGATTTAAATGTAAGTGGGTCAATGCAAAGCACTGCAGCACACGACTTCTTCTATGCTGAATTTTTCTCATTCTGCAGCTTTGAGAGCCTCTACGAAATGATTTCAAAACATGCAGCTCGACTGGGAATAACGGGCCATGATTCCCAGTAGTGACTGGTCCCATGTTTTTTATGTAATTCATAAAAAAAAGGTCAAAGAACGGCATTCAAATAAAAATCGTCTCAAAGGTCTCTATTGTAAAAACGTTGATTAACGTTTAAATAAATCACAAAACTTTGAAATTCTGATGACCGAACCTGCGTTCTGATATCTTCTGATGGCACCGTTTTATGACAAAGCTTTCTCCTGTAGCTACACTGTGTCCAAATTTTCCTTTATTCTGATTTGAAAAACTACATTTCAATCGTTTTATTGCAACACTTTTCCCTCTACATGCACAGATTATACGTCATATTGTATATCGGAGGTCTTTTTGTGCTCTTTCACCTGATGCGATGGGATACATGGTGAAACCAGTTTCAGCTGAGCATTAGAACAGGCTGTCCATGAACTCTTCTGTCATGGGGTCACACCAACACACTTGCAGGTGTTACATCCAGTAATATGCATTATAAGGTTATAATGCATCAAATGCAGTAAGTATGCAAATATTTCATATAAATATAGTTTATAACTTAATAATTTTCTTTAGCCAAGATACTTAAACATTTTGATTTTATGTAATATATAGATTTATACTATTACTAAGTATCACACCTTTTTTTTACTATTTCTATATTATTTTTATATTTTATATATATTTTTTTTATATATTATTTTTTTATTAGAAATAATCAAATTGTTACATGCTTAAATTTACACAAAAAGACTGAAATCTGCACTGTCATTAACACATTTTTCACCAAAAATTGAAACCTAACTTTTCATTATTTATTGTGTTAAGCCTGTGGGCTCCAGGGTATAACTTTGGCTTGTTTGACTTGTTTGGTATCATTATTTTCAGCACAATCTCACGTGTCTGAATTTACAGTTATTTTTTCATTAACACAACTGATCTGAAATCACACAAAAACATAAAAATCAAGGAGAAAAAAGTTAGCGCTCAAACTTTTACTATGTGCGCTCAGAATAGTGGCACAAAAATAATGCCATAGTGATGTTGATTGTTGATTGTGCTCTGGCACAATCATAGGCATAGGTTGCTACTGACAACAAGAAATAAAGCTGGTCTGAGCTATGGGCACAACCATTTTTTAATAGTGGAGGGGGAATAACACTATGTAAAATATTCAGTTTTAGAAATTATATTCAGTATTAACTGTGGCTATGTTCAAACTGTTAATACTATCTTATTTTAATAAGTAACATTTTCATATGCAAAACTAGAGGCAAGAGATTATTTTAGGGTGGCACATGCCACCCCGTGCCACCCCTGTAGATCCGCTCCTGCACACCAACCATGACAACCATTAACATGTTGATATTCTGACCTGTGAGTCACTATTGTTACATGATTATGTAAGTACCACACCCGCCTTTGACTGATTTCAACAAGTGTGTTCAACAACACACCTGCAAAATAAAGACTACTGTCTATTGCACAGTTGTGTTGACCAGATCTGTCAACAGTCAAACCGACATTTAGCAACTCATGCCAAAGGTCTGAAAACTTCCTGCAGCCCCATAATTTGCCATAAGACACAGAGACAGACTATCCAGGTGAAAACAAAACCATGTCCTATATCATTACTGCTTATAATACCTCTGCAGTAAAGGCTTTTATTATTCATCTAACAAATATAAATCTCCCTCATCCATTTTATTTAGATAACTAACTGTAATACAAAGTAAATTTCCTGGTTTTAATATATCTTTTCGAAACATTAATCATGTCTCCAATGGCTTTTCCAGGTTTTCCAGGTTGTTCCATGCCCCATTGAACACATAATTCGTTGATGTATTACGCAAAACATAAATAATACTACAAAGACATGATAATGGCCCTGTCAGTAAAATCTCACAAGGAGCGCGCACGCAGCAGACTGAAAATAATGCACCTTGCACACAAACTTCTCCCCTGCTAGCTACCAAGCTATCGCTTTACCAGCAAGCTAAAGCTAGCTTTGATTCTTTTAAAGAGGCGCCATTACTCACAGCATTACTCGAGGATCAGACAGCCCTTCCTCCGTGCCATACATGTACAGGAGTCTTTCACATCATCATGCTGACTCTACAGTTAGCGGTTAAAAAGGAAAGTGTGAAACCCCATCTGTCGTGAGCCACTTCATCTGCTTCCGGGTGCGTTTTCCGGGAAGACACCCTTTCATCGCGTGTGTGAGGTCGTGAAGAAACTCCAAACTCCATTCAGAAACATAACGAATTTTCTTACTTCGCGCAGACCCAAAAATGTAGCCTATAAACCATAACCTGAGACAGTCTTTATCAGCAATGCCTTCGACTGGGACACTCGGCTTCATACATGATGTCGTCAGGATATTTTATCTCAGTTTTAAAGAATTTCAGTCCTTGGCTTTTATAATATGACGTGCATTTGCGTGTTGATGATGAGAAAAGCAAAACTGAGCAGATTTTGGATGGAGTTCGGAATCATGATTCTTCCCCTTCAGTGAAACGGTCATATGTAATCTCAGCACTTACGTCACACGTTGACGCTGTACCTTGAAATTGACAGATACAGCAGGTTTTATATTACCAGGCGCGGTGGCCAAGTGGTAAGGCGTCGGTCTCGTAAACCGAAGATCGCGGGTTCGAACCCCGTCCGTGCCTGTTAAACTGGAAAGTACCAACTGTGTTTTTTGGGGTGGGGAAACAAAAAGCTATCCTTGAAGTTGTCGAACAGTATTACAAAAGAAAATCACACCAAAAAAACCCCAACACGAAATTGAAATTATAAAGAAATAAACTATAAACATAGCTCGAAAGTAGACAAAACTTTTCATGTGTTATAAAACTTCAGAAGACCACAAGAGGGAGCAATACGAACAGTACATTACAGAGGGTTTGTTTAAGTGAACTCAGACAAAAACTGATAATGACTCAAACTGTATGAAAAAGCAATTCAATGCAAAGCAATAAGATATTTTTTTTAATGTCTAACTTGATTGCAACCCAACAGAGTCTATGCACCTTTGAGTAAGACTTTTACTTAAAAGACAACTTCCCGTTCTTCTTTTTTGCCTATCCTACTTTAAAAAATTTCTGGAAATATGCATGTAAGCAATTATATATAATATATGAATTCATTATGAATACTGGCTTGGTAAGGATTCTTACTGGGTGGGATGTCCAACATACAGCTCGGGGGCCAGAATCAGGCCTTGCAAAACACACAGGAAAGGAAAATGTGAAGGAGCGCATAACTTTTGTCTGTTTCTGTTTTATACTCTGTCATCCCTTCGCGAAGCACTTTGTGATCTTTTTATCTAGAAAGGTGCTATATAAATAACATTTTATTTTTTACTTTTTAGATTTTTACTTGTATTCTGGTTTCCTGTTGATAAAGACTCCTCCCTGCCACTGAAATTCAGAAAGTAATTAAGCAATAGATAAACAATGACAACAATTTTCTGTGAATTAATATTTTATGATTACACATTACACAGTCTTGGCAATGAAACAGCTGCACTTATTTTGTAATTTTACCCATTTATTATGTGGTTTCACTGGTCTGGACACTTAAGTTCAAAGTGGGCTCTGTGTGTCCCACAACAATGAAAATGAGCTCTCTGATTGATGTTAATTGGCCATCAGGGAAACATATCAATCAGTAAATCAATGAACAGAATCTTTAATTAAAACATAAGTAACAAGTGTCAATACACGTAAAAAATAAATAAATACAGAGTTATTTAAGGCCATGCTATTCAAAAAGAGCAAACAAACAAACTGTGAACGCTACTGTGGTCCAGCCCGTGTGAAAAACATCATAAACACTGTGAGGCCTCACACGTCAGCTTCAGGAGTGTACAGCTCACGAGTGGCGACCTCTACGTCCCCGTTAATTCTCAGCTCTGTGCTTTCCCAGTCAAAAACATTTCCTCTTGGTTCTCTCTCCCCTGCAAACATGCCTTGTATCACGCTATCTGCCAGAACAACATCCCACATATTCACATCACAGATCTCACCAACAAAATTCTGATGTTTGTCAAAATCACCCAGATAAAAATCCGGATCTTGTCCCAGGATAACCCTGCCTCCTGGGCTGACAGTGTGACCCTTCCTGTAGATTTTGGATAAGCTCCTCTTGCCATCCAGGAAGAAGGCAGCTAAACCTGAAGTGGAATCCCAGGTGACACACAGGTGGGTCTGCAGGGCTCCGAGCTTAGGGGCTTTAAATAAAACAGGATCTCCAACCATGTAAAAGGACAGTCTGCACACACAAACAATCATTATAAGTCTGCATGCAGGCAGCTTAATGTAAAACCCTACAGTGGCCCTGAGAGGCCAAACGGCCTGCAACTTCAGAAAACACCAGCAA